CAGGGGGGAGAGAGGGAGAGAGAGAGAGAGAGAGAGAGAGAGAGAGAGAGAGAGAGAGAGAGAGAGAGAGAGAGAGAGAGAGAGAGTCAGTTACACAATGGATCACATGTACCTTTGTCACTCTATCAATTACTTCTGCTCTTTCTTATTAAAGAAAAAAACTGAGCATGCCCTCGCATGGTGCCATCTGCTACGTATGGTACGAGGCACAGCGTGGTTTAACTGCGAGTGGTTTGACAAGTGTTCGATGGACTTTCTTTCAATGTGCACACATGCATGGACAAGCACATAAGTTGCCGGGAGTGGGTACCAAAAACCCCCAACGAAATTCTGTCTAATGCTTTGACTGAGTGCATTGTCCTGCCAAAACAAACATTGAACTTGAAATACAAATAGAATGGTTCGAATCTAGGTAAGAAATTTGAACTTTTTAAATTCGAACTTTTTAAAGGATATTGCCACAGGCTAGTATTTAGTCCTGTATCTTTCAAATACAGATTGAGTAGCGTTTATGTAAAAAAAAAGCACAGATTTTATCATGCCGTTCTTCCCAAATAGTTTAGGATGTTTTGAATCAAGTTTTACAGCACAATCTACACAATCTAGTCATAGAACAAAAGAAACTGAGAAATGGTGTTGTAAGCGTTACAACAGAAGTTTATGTAGACTTCACAAACATTTTACAATGTTTTAAAACAGTTTATTAACAAGCCAAAATATATGTGCTTTGTTGACAATTATTTTTTTAAAGTCTAAAAAGACAGTACAATAATATAATCATTAAATATTGTATCCAACGACAATATTATAGTGTTCTCAGATCAGTCCTGTGCGTAATTTTATTCATACTTTATCCATGCATAAATTGTTTCACTTGCTTGTGCTTTTTTAAAGATCTTAATGGCCACAAGAACAACATAGGGCCAAACTCCTACTTTCATAGTGACCAGCAAAGTAGTTCACACTATGAGAGAGAGAGAGAAGGAAAGAAAGAGAGAGAGAGAGAGAGAGAGAGAGAGAGAGAGAGAGA